ACGGAGGAGATGAGCGTGGGCTGCACCAGCCACTGCAGGTCCTGGCTCGTCGTGATGGCCGTCACCGTGGGCACGAAGGAGCCGGGCATGTCCCCCAGGCCGCTGCACTCCTGCGGGGACAGCGGGGTCAGCGCGGGGGGCGACGCCGCGGCGGGACCGGCGCCCATGCGCGAGACCCGGTTTGCACCCAAGCACAAGGTCCCTGTCACCCCAGAAGCCACACACAGGAGGGGTCACTTGTACCTGGGCATGAGGTCCCTGGCACCCATGCAACAAGCCCTTGCACCTGTGTGCAAAGTCTTTGTCACCTCAAACCTGAGGCATGTGGTGTCCCTTGCACCCATGCACAAGGTGCCAGGCACCTCAGAAGTGAGGTGCAAGGTGTCACTTGCACCCATGCATGGGACATAACTAGCACCCATGCATGGTGTCCCTAGGGCACCAGGATTGATGCATGACATGGTACTCGCACCCATGCCCCGGCCCTTGCTAGCACCCATGCAAGGGGTCCCTAGGGCACCAGGATTGATGCATGACATGGTACTCGCACCCATGCCCCGGCCCTTGCTAGCACCCATGCAAGGGGTCCCTAGGGCACCAGGATTGATGCATGACATGGTACTCGCACCCATGCCCCGGCCCTTGCTAGCACCCATGCAAGGGGTCCCTAGGGCACCAGGACTGATGCACAAGGTGTCATTGGCACCCCAGGACTGATGCATTAGGTGCTACTCGCACCCATGCACAGGACCTTGCTAGCACCCATGCAGGATGCCCCTAGGGTGCCAGGATTGATGCATGACATGGTACTCGCACCCATGCACAGGACCTTGCTAGCACCCACGTGCAATGTCCCTGTCACCCTAGCACCAATGCACAAGACCTGGCCTGCACCCCTTGATGCCCCTGCTGTCCAAGCACAAGGTGGCACCTGCACCCACGAGGTCCCTGTCCCCCTGCCACCGACATGCGAGGCCTCCGCAGCACCCAAGGGTGCACGGGAGCAGCTCGGGTGCCCAAAGGGTGTCACATCGCTCCCGCCACATTTCAGCTCCAACAGCTCTTGCACCCCAGGGACCCCTCAATTTGCACCAAGCACCCCACAAGGGTGGGGGGCACCCAGAGCGGTGGAAGAAGCCCCCCCAAAGGGCTACTCCGAGGGGGCTTCTGAGGGGTAACAGAACCGATCGGGCACCGGGACCCCCAGCCCGGGTTGCACCGAGAACGG